GTCCACACTTCCAGACACCCACAATACAATAAAGAAAAGTAAAGAAACTAGAACACTCAAACCAGGTTTATGCAGCTCTGCAGAATGAGTTTCTTCACAAAAAGAATGCAAAATTTGCCTCAAGAAAGAGCTACGAAAAACTTCACAAAACTTGCGCGATTCTTTCTTGAAAGTTGTTAGGATCGAGTGCTTACCACTAGGCCAAAAGCTATAGCTTTTAGTCAGAGCGCAACTCCTTTTACTTAAGAGTAACAATCCAAGTGCCACGATTCGATTGTGACTTGGCCCACCCGGCCTCCGCCACAGGACAATTGATGCTACCTGCAATAATCTCCCCCTCAGCAATTGTCCTACGAGGAATCCCACTTGGATTGTGACTTGACCCATCTAGCCTGCGCCACCGATTGTGACTTGGCCCACCTGGCTTGTGCCACGGGACAATTGTGCAACCCGCAACAAAAGTAGCACTTATGATTGCTGGATTGATTGCTCAAAGGTGTATTTTAAAAGACTCAAGCAATCCTGTTTATATAGAAGATTTTTCAAACTGCTGGTTTAATTAATCTGTTAAAACAATCTTTTAATCTATTAAAAGTCTTGAATTAATCTGTTAAAACTTCTTTTAATCTGTTAAAATGTTCTTGATCATTTTACAGATTTGTTTTAACTGATACGACAACGTTTATATCGATTAAAACACTTTGTAAAATATCTTTTAAATTGTTTTAATCGATTATTTTGCCTTTTAATCGATTAAAATACTGTAAAATGTTTTCATAAAACTTTCTAATTGATTTTAACTGATAACAATCTGTTTTAATCGATTAAAACACTTTGGAAAAATCCTCTTAGTTATTTTAATCGATTAATTCACATTTTAATCGATTAGAATTTTGCCAAAAAGTTTCATAAAACTTTCTAAGTCATTTTAACTGATAACAACATTGTTTTAATCGATTAAAACACTTTGGAAAAATGCTCTTAGTTATTTTAATCGATTAATTCGCATTTGTATCGATTAAAATACTGACAAAACATCTTTCAAAACACTTCAAGTTATTTTAATCGATTATTTCGAGTTTGTATCGATTAAAATTCTGCTAGAACACTTTTCAAAACATCTTAAGTCATTTTAATCGATTATTTCGATTCTACATTAGTTAAAAAACTGGCAGAAGGTTTTCAAAAACTCTTTTAATGAAAGCAATCGATTATTTCGAAAACCTATCAGTTAAAAACCTGTTACGAAAGTGTTAAAACCATTTTAACTGATAAAACTCATATAATATCAGTTAAAACAATTACTTAAAAACCATTTAACAAAATACTCTGTTTTTAACAGTTTAAACACGTTTTAGAGGCATTTGCAAAATCTTTTAAATGAAGAAACCTCATGCAGCAGAGAGATAAGAATGATTATACTTATGTATAGATGCAGACTCACTAATCACTTTACCCTTTTAACTAAGTAACCTTTGACTGCAACAGAATAGCCTTTGACTTTATTTTGACTTCATCAAATCAACAAGATCTTCGTTTAAATGATTCAATAAGATCTTCATCACTTTCATCTTGAACCCTATACTTCAGGTTTAAACAATTTTCTACAAAGTGCCCGGGAGCGTCTGAGTGGTAAACACATTTTTTGTTAGGCTTGTAGCACTCGGGGGTAGGGTGGATTTGTCCTTTTCGGAGGAACACGTGCTAGGAGCCTGACCTCTAACAACTCTAGCAGCAGACTCCCATAGGAAGTTGGAATGGGAGTAAATTTCCCCTCTTGTCTACGTGACTGCCCAGTTGGTGGTGAAGAGGAAGAAGAAGTAGTGGGGTTGATGGCGTTCACGCTTCGCCTCTCCTTGCTGAGGAACTTCTTGAATGATGTGGATGAGGGAGGTTGCGTAATCCTCACACTCTTTAGTTCTTGTTCCACTCTTTTGCCCATATGATCATTATGGGGGCTCTTACATTGATGGCGCATTAGTTCCGTTAGCTGCGTCATCTGCTCCTTCACAGAATTAAGCTCAGCAATGAGCTTGCAATTTTGTTTCTCTAACTGCTTCATTAACCACACCATTTGCTCCTTTATGGCGTTAAGCTCAATGGTGAGCTTGCGATTTTGTTCTTCCGATTTCTCCATCCTCTTGGCCTTTTGTGCGTGAGTGAGGACAGGAAGAAGACCAACTACTTTCTAAAATTCACATGAATTTAAGAACGTTTATTTTTATTTTGAAATGAAATGAATGATAAATATGCCTTAAGACAATGACTTTGGTATCCTCTTAAAGCTTACACTTCACGGAGTACCATACCCACTTTGGTATAATGGCTCCTTCCCCATCATGGATTTGACAAGTATAACAAAGGTCACCATACACCTTAGCACACTTGTCCCTTCCTTGTGGAAGATTACAAACGCACTGGGGTCTCTTTCGCCTATGTCTAAGGATATCTAATACCCCTTAGAATGGATGTGCTTATGCATGAGAGATTCATTAAGATGATGCGTATGCATACTTTTCTTATGCATTTATTTTCTCTCCTAATTTTACCACTTATGAGATGATGCGAGTATGAATGGTTGACTTTGTCAAAATCTTTTTATTAGATTTTGTTATTACTATTTTTTGTATTTTTGATTTTGAAACGAAAAACTTGACTTTGTCAAAATTTTTTTATTATACTTTATTATTTTTATTTCTTTTATTACCCCTTTATCTCTTCTATAGGTCAACATGACTACTTAACTTACAAAGAACCTGAAACCATGCTAGCTTAAATGAAGACTGTCCGAGATAAAGTTTGTTTATTAAGTAAAAATTTTGTTTTATAACCCCTTATTTCTTCTGTAAGTCAACATGACTACTTAGTTTACAAATAACCTAAAACTAGACTATCTTAAATGAAGACTGTCTGAGATAAGATTGTTTATTACAAAAAGGTATTGAGATGCTATTTTATTTGTATTATTTATTTTTTATTTTGTTGTTGTATGATTATTTTATGCAAATGCAACAAACATATGCACAAACAATCCACTCATCCGCGAACAAAGTGACGACATTTTTATCACGAGGTAGGGGTATCCTGCAGAAAAGTGCGTATTTAAGGTGGTTCTAACTGTTCTCACTAAGGCCAAGCCCCCAAAGTGCCCCCATTATAGGATCCCCTGCGTCTTCCAATCCTCAGACCATGTGTGGCACTAAGGCCGTGTCGATGTCTTATGGATCAAAAGAGAGGGTTATATCACCTTGAGTGGTGGTTTCCGACCATACGGTGGGCACAAGGCCATCACTACGACAAATTGTACCTGCCACCCACTCCCTAAGGTTATTCCACATGCCCCCGGGTATAGAGGGACTGCTGTGTGCAAATGTTTGTGTATAGTTGTTATTTCAAACAATTGCAAAAAATAAACATACAACAGTTATTAAAGCCATAGAATAAAACATGTTATAAATATAAGGAAGGGTAAAAACACAATTTCAAGTCATTATTATTTGATTTAGTCCATTACTAAATGAGATAAACTCTCTAGCTTCTCCAGTGGAGTCACCATCTATCGCCGCCGTCTCCCTACGCCTATCGGTGCGAGGATTTTGATATTTATGAACAGTTACGATGAATGACTAAACTCCTGTGTTTTTGTAAAATTATGTAGTCAACGTTTTTTAGGTTGTACGATAATCGGGCTGGACCTAAAAGCGAGGTTTTCATAAAGGGTTCTATGGAGTCGCCACCGATGTTTTTACCATAAGCATCGAAAAAGGAAGAAAAGAAGGCGTTGGTTTAAAAAAACCAACTTTGGCCATTACAACCAGAGTTGGGTAAAAGAGTTAGTTACGTGTGGGGAAGGTGTTAACACCCCACAACGCCCCTTTCAGGTTCCCTATGATAGACTAATTCAGAAAATAAAGACTGAGAAAAATTAAGCTTTTACCCTATTTACTTATCTACTTTGCAAAATTTTAAATATCTACATGGTCCTAGTTTCTAATGCATACAAGGAAAGCAGTAAAAGAAAACAGTAAAAAAGAAGATAAATGAAGAAGAAACTCTGAAGTGAGCTTTTATAAATCTTGAACTTGAGGATGCTTTTTGACAGTCCTCGCACTCTATAGAGACACTCCTCCCTCGAACAAAAAATAAGAATCTCACATTACTGAGCATCGGACGGAGGCGGCGGAGGCGGCGGAGGCGATAGTGACAGCGGTGTGAACCAGTACACCAGGTAAGTTTCCAGGAAAGAGAGGTGAGTCACTAATGGACACGCTTAAATACCAAGGTGAAAAAAATTTCAAAATAACCTTAAGCTCTAGATACCATGTTGAATATAGAAGAAATAGAGTTTGAGATTAATCTCCCTTGTTTATAAATCACACATAGAGTAGTCTATTTATAATACAGAGATATAATTAAAAGAATAACTGAAAGTAACAAAATAAACAGAAGATATTGTTTGATATTGTGGTTAACAATATCTAACCATATCTTAACAATATCAAATAATATCTAAACAATATCTAACAATATCCTTGTATTTTTAACAGTCAGCACTTTTAGTAAGTAATAGGCTATCGCCCATTCCTGATAGCCGCAACTCTGCCCGTTCCTTATTCCATTAAAAAATGAATGGGAATTGATCTGACAATGGCTGGGCAAAATCCATCTCTTTCCATCTCTATTTTCGCTAAACTTTCTTGCTTTCATGAAGCCGACCTTAACATCCCAAGCATAATAAAAGAAAAGAAAATGAAGAGTGTTTCCTAGCCGTCTTGTCCTTGGGAAAGGAAGTACCACTCTTGAATAAAAGCAAATAGAAAAACAACCACTATCTTAGCAGCTGAAAAAGGGCTTTAATAGGGGAGAAAAGTCAACTCCTTGCCCGTTCCGCTACTTCACTTCTTGGCTTGAAGTGCCTTTTCACTTTGTTGGCTAAAAGTGGAAGATTTTTCAGACCCGAAATAAACTTGTGATAGAAGCTTTCTTTCTCTAGTAGGAAATCAAACACATCTGGAAGGCTCGCGTATTCCTATTCTTGTTATGGGAGACTGTCCATACCCTATGTCGACTCCGTTCACAAGACCTTTAGGGAAAGGGAAGGATTACCATATGGAGCTTTCATTACTGGGCATGCAGCAGGAGATGAAAGAGTTGCCCTTCTTTCAAACAAAAGGGATGATACCAGTCTTTGTCAATTCTTCTGATCTTTCTTAGGCCAAGGAAGGAAAGCACAGTAGAACTAGCGCAGTGGGACATGACAGCGGTTGGGAAAAGCTATCAGACATCAATCCAATGAACAGACAAAGCGGCTTGGCCGAATGGTTAGGAAGAGAGAACGACTATACTTGACTTTCTTTCTTAGTTAGAACCTTACACCCATATGAGAGAAAGCAGCCAAAACAATAGAGAAGATCAGAGACGAGTTTAGCGATAAAATTTGCTCACACCTATCTTTGATGAAAGAAGCCAAAAAGCAAGTTAAAGAACAACTAGTGTCAGAGAGATGACTTCTGTTGAACTCTTCCTTTACATGAAGGGAATAAACCCTTGTTCAAGGAAGGGGTATACGTTTTATCCAAGGAGCATAGCAACTGATAAGTCGATTAAAGTTCTCCTTAATCGAACCAACCAGCCCCACCACCTCGTCAATATTATCGGGTGGGGATATTATACTAGAAAACGTTGATTTATCAACCTGCTTCGAGTGCCCTTTCATTGCTATTTGCTCAAGAACCGAGAGCCGCCCAGGGACTGCCGGAGGGAGCTTGCTTATAAAAAGATGATAGGCCGGTCACCATGAAGGTCTTGCTTTCCAAGTTGGCTCCCAACGTACCCCCTGACACAAGGGAGTTTTCTCTCAACTCCCTCAGGCTAATTGACAGGGTAGCTTGTTGACTTAGGGGATCAAAAAGCGATTGAGTGCTTGACTAAGTGATTCGTCGGATTAAATAAAGGCTGATGTGCCTCAGTGATGGCTTTACAAAGGAAATGGAAATGTAGACTCCCCGGGGTGGGACTGGGGAGATTGGGAGCAACCTTCCTTCGTGGCTGTTGGACATCTTCCGATTCGCAAGACAAAACTTTCATATCATCTCTATAGTTCCGCTTCTTGCTCTAAAGAAAGAAAGGGTAGCGGGAAAGGAATAAGTCTCGAAATTAGTACCACTTTACCATTACCTCCTTGACCTCTATCTGCATTCCTTTTCTTTTTAAAGAAATCGAGGAATCTTTTCCAATAACCTCTAATAGATTTTAAAAATATTTGCGTAGAATAGAAAAGTCTTTGTGATCCGCCTTACTTTCTTTCGTCCCTGACACCCTTTCTTCTCCTCCCTCACCCTGACTTCCCCCTCTCTCTCTTTCTTGTTGACAGTGACATCAGAGTTGGTGACAAGGGAAAGCATGTAACGGAAAAGTGAAATGGTAGCTACTTCTTCCCTTTCCGGTCGGTCTGGTGTGGTGTCATTGACTTCATTTCTCTTCACATCCCTTTTCCCTTTCTTTCTCGCATTTCTTCTCGTCCATGGTAGATCCCTTTCTATGCGAGTCGGGCTTCTTCTCATCAATAAGTAGTGGAAGGGAATCAAAATCACCCCGCTTTTATTTATATTTATTTATTTATATGCGGGTTCCACGACAAGGACCTTTCCTTTTGGGCTTATACACACCATTAGCCCTGTTCTGCCTACCGACCAAGACTTCTCTTTCTAGCCCCTCTACGCTTATCAACGCCTGCATTCCTTCCTTTGATTGCTTCTTGTACTCCTTCTATCATATTCCTTTGTCTTTGCATCTCAGTCCCGGATCGACTAGTTGTCTTCTTTACAGTATGTTCTCCATTTTTGGGTCACTTTCTGCATCAGTGAGGAGTAGCATCGAAATATCAAGTTAAGGCATCTTGCGAGTCAAAAAAAGGGACCGCCTTATACTACTAACGGCTGGACTGTTCCATTCAGAGGTAGACAGAACTATTAGACTAGGGCTTGATGCCGTTACTTTAGTGAAACCAGATATGTAGGAATACTAAAGATAGACAGAACATACCAATGCATGCAGTAATTCTTTGAATTAATCAAAAGAATTTGCATCTCATCACCGATCCACTTGTGGCCAGTACCGGCTAGGCTTTAGTATTAACTCTGATTTCTTGTGGAAGATCTAAAGCTCACTCAAATTTCTAAAACCACACCTTATTGCAGGCCTTAAGAGTATTTTGTCCTTCTTTACAATAGTTACTGTTTTCAGAAAGGTCCAATAGCTAAATCTAACACATCCATAGCAATTGCTCCATGACATGCGTATTTTTATATACATTTTTTATTTGGACATTTCAGTTAAGATATGTGGATATATATCTTGTAATGTAGTTTACAAGATATTGCACAATGCGGTCCAAAACAAACTCTCCTAAAAGTTAAGGAAAGGCACATGAATGGTTTTATATTTCTAATTCTAGAACATCTTGAACAAGCCATTTGGACTTTATGCATGTGCAATAGGTGAATATATCACAAACATACCTTCCTAAAAGTTTAATATTAGGTGAAGGAAAATGTTTGACGTACACCCTCAAAGTTCCAAACATCCACCCAGCACCCATTATTTGATTTTTTTATTTAAATTTAAAAATGAAAAATTAGTTTTATAATTAAAAAGTTGAGAGTGATTGATGTTGAATGGGTGTTTTTAACTTTTTGGGGTGTTTGTGAATCAGAACTCTTAGCAGAATGCACCTGAATGGTTTTATATCTCTTACAATTTAAGTTACTGTTTTCTTTCTTTTTCCTTGTGCATGGTCTTATAACTATTTTGACTAGTGGCTCCATTGTGTCGGGCCTTGGATTTCAATTGTTACCACCATGATACATTCTAAACTTTAAATTTACTAAAACTAAAATTCTGAGTTAAATGTGTGATTTCTACTAACTATACCTTTAATTCCCTTAATTGGTTCATGTAATATGAATTTATCAATGTGCAATCTTAATCTTGTTATTCACCTTTCTTTTTTCAATGAAGTCAAAATTGCGTAGTGGCTGGTCGAATTGCTGTATGTGTGTGTGTGAAATAGTAAGCAAAGCAAGCCATTGAAGTTTTTTGTTTTATTGTCTCGTGACTGATGGTGAAACTTGTGTGCAGGGTTAGCAGGACGGTAACAAAGGGACTTCTTATGCATTTAGGATGTGATGTTACAACTGCAAGCTCAAGTGAAGAATGTCTTCGTGTTGTTTCTCTGGACCATGAAGTGGTCTTCATGGATGTTTGTACAGGGTTAGATGGTTCTGAACTAGCAGCACGGATACTTGAGAAGTTTGCGAAACATCAAGATAGACCACTAATAGTTGCTCTTACTGGAAACACCAAAAGGGTAACGAAAGAGAACTGTATGAGGGTTGGTATGGATGGACTTATATTAAAACCTGTTTCTGTTGAAAAAATGAGGGGTGTTTTATCAGAACTGTTGGAGCGCCGAGTTCTGTTTGAAACTGTTTAACCTGTCGCATTGGCTTAATATTATGAATTTTCCTTATTGCTGTTATGAGATCCCGGTAAAAAGAACAGTGGTGGACTATCCGTTATTAAATCATTTTTCCTATCAGAAGTTCGTTTATGTCGTATATTCTGCATTTTTATAGCGTTTCAGGTTTTCGAAGTTTTGCAATGGCAGTAAAATTGCATTTTTACTGTCCTTCGTTGTTTCGATTAGCTATGAGAATTGTTAGTTACACGTCCCTTGAATTAGTTGAAATTTTTATAATTCACAAATTACCCAATTTTATAATTTTCAATTAATAAAAGAGAATATGCTCAAAGAGTGTGATGATATTTTTTTAGGTTAATTATGTCTTTAATCTCTAAGTTTTACGGTAAAATTAAAAAAAATATTTTTCAAATTTGAGAAAATATTATTTTGTATTTTATACATTAATTTTAAATAATTTAGAATGAGTTATTTAAAATTATTTTCTTTTTAGAGGTTTTAAGATATTATATGTATATATTTTTATATGAGATATATGATATAGGAAAACTTTATTTTCATATTTTCATATTGTATATTTCCATATCATTCATTTGATAGATAATCTCTAATTATTATTTAAAGCAATCCTAAATCTTATCCCTTATTCCATCTTATGGGCGGAATAATATGGATGAGAAACTTTCTAAGTTGGAAGCCATGATGAAAGAACTTTTGCAAATACATAAGCATATGGAACACTTTAGATGGATTCTTTGAGGATCATAACTTTAAATTTGACACACTCAAGATAAGAATACACCTAGGAAGGAAATATACTCACTCACTTTATACGAAATTACTCTTGGATGCATAAAGTTATCACACATGGCTCACTTTTGTTCCTTATATAGGAATCAAGGTTGTATAGTTACAAGGGCAAACACACCTTGGCCATATGAGTTTACGTTAAACTTAAGGTAGCTAGTTTATTCCTATATTTTAAAAAAACAGTTCAATTTTAGGAAAAATTCATGTGATCATGAACCAAGAGGAATAAGCATAAGGAGAAGTGATTAAGAGACATAATGAAAGAGTAAGAAAGGAACAAGTGAGTTTAAAAGATCAATAGAGCTTCTAGAGGTGACTTAACTAAAAGGGAGGCAAAAGAGCTTGAGAAGGCCTTCATCAAGTAAATTAGCTTGTTGAGATACTAGGCTTAGTAAGGGATGTATTTGGATACACCTTTACATGCCTCACTCCTCATATAAATGAAGAGCTCCACATATTTTCACAATTTTTATTTTTTATTGAAATCTTGAGAATTTTGAAAAGAGTATGATTTTAACTTTTCTTATTGGAGACTCCCATGTTAATTGATATCTTAAGTGATGGAAATCCTCTTTCTTTGTTTATCTCTTGGTTTAAGTGTTCTCTAACATTTTTCATCAAATTTCAATCTTGAGCTTAAATTTTAGAGCCTTATTTGAAACAAAGGTATATCTCCAATCCCTTAGTCTTTTCCTTCTTTGTAATTTATTTCTTTGGTCTATCTCTTCCTTCTTCTTCTTTTTTTTTTTTTTGGAAAACATTGCATAGATCATTCATCTCAACCTTTATATAGTAAGAACAACCCACCTTTGGACATTCAACCAACCCCATAATGTTAAGACTAACCAAAAACCAAGAACCAAACCAAAATCCATCAAGAACATCGTACCTCTAACTCATAAGAAATTGTATTTTCACCTTTTTAAATAACTTCAATAATTCAAATAAAGTCTTTCACTTTGGTTTTCATCCAATCTATATCGTAACCTAACAAACTCCATCCAAAAATAACAAGTTTCAACCAAGAAGACAACCTTATACCTTACCTATCTTCCATCATTCAGGAATCATCTTCAACCTTTCAAGATTCATCTAAGAACTTTACTTGAACAAAATCTATTCATATGCAACACATTGCTCTTAGGGAATTATTACCTTACCATAAACATACTAAGAATCCCACCATAGGTTAGGGTTTTTTATTTTTCTTCTTGAGTATTCTTGAGTGTTGAATATTTGTGAGGGAGATAACAATCAAGAGATATTCATGAGTGAAACCACAAGTCAATCATATAAAATAATATAACACCACTCAACCTAAAATCTTAAGATGTTATTTTTGCGAGTCTCTCTTACTATTATGTTACTTTAACTTTTTAATTTTTATCCAATAAGGGATTTCAATTCTCACTTAGATTCAACAACCCCCCTCAAGTATAATGTTCTTCCACATTAGTACATTTATCTTGAAACAAAAATATTTCTTAACTATGGGTACCTTAATGATGACCTTTACTTGTATCATTGTTTACCACAATGAAACACACTTTACTTGAAACCCTTTGTCAGGAAGACATGTGATACTTGCAAGCTCAGTCAAGATTTTCACAAAAAAACGTAATTAGTTTGACTTGTTTTGATCAAAAGAAGATTCTAGCCACTATCTCACTTGATTCGAGTTTCAAGATAAAACCTTATCTAAGAATTCTAATAAAATTTGGACATGATCTTATTTGAATTAAAGAGTAAAAAAAGATGAAGAAAGTATGTACATGCAAGTACAAACAACCAAACAAATAGAAAATGCAACAAAAAGATTTTTCAATAATCAAATTTTCCTACAAAGAAAACAACATCCCATTGAAGATATTTATACATGACCAAAATTAAATCCTTATAGCCAACCATAATACGAGTACATAAAGAAGAAAACCACTTTACCTAACTTAAGCTCATATACAAAGAAGAGCTAAAGATTGTGACGATGATGATCAAGACTCACATACAACAAATAACAAAAATAGTGATTCATTTATTTCTCTTCATTCATTAACAAGAATAAAGTGTTAGTGTGTTATGTGTGCTAAGAGTGAAAGTGAGAGTAGAGTGTTAAAGGTTTTAAACAGTGTTAGGTGCCAGTTTGATGTTAAGTGAGAGTTAAAAATTAAAGGTATATTGGTTATAATCTGTATTTTATAATGTAATTTACATCATCCATTTTGATTTTTTATGAAACTTGTTCTTTAATATATTATTGGAGTAATTAACTTAATTTTAATTGATCAGTTATTTTTTTTAAATCAATTAAAAAAATATTATATGTGATTAATTACATGTTATTATATATAATTGAGTTGTAAAATTTTAAAGTTGTCATTTAAGCTGTTATCTTCTGCGTGTCATTGATGCCATTCGGTATAGTTAAAATTCTATCTTTTTTAAATGATATATAATTCATTACTCTAACTTGAAAATCATGCTTTTTCTATTGTTAATATGGTTGTCAATCTATGCTCTTTTTCTATAACATTGGATCTTACTATTTTTGTCATATATATATATATATATATATATATATATATATATATATATATATATATATATATAGATATGTATATTTTTTTCTATTTGTACCTTGTTTCTGGTTGGAGTTACAATTGAGAAATTGAAAATAACTGTACATTAATGGTTCAAACTTTTTCTAATTGGTGGCAGAATATGTCGTCCAATCTTAAGAGGATATAAGATTTCATATATCTTCTTTCTATCTATTTATCTATATATATTGTTTTTTTTTTAAGTAGACATAGATACGGTGTGGGATTTTTTTTTTCATATTTTATTAAGTTTGATTTCAATCAATAGAAAAAGATGTGATTTACCTAATTAGAAGTTTGCTTTTAGAACAAGTTTTAATACAGTTCATCCATTTTCTTTTGTATTTTTATGATATTTGAGTATGCTAAATTATTAATATAACTTAAGATGTTAACTTAAATGGGATTGTAAGTTATATAATACTTTAAAAAACCTACTTAGCTTTTAAAATAAATAAATAAAGAGATTCAATGCTATTGAAACACAATAATACTGTAAGTAGTCATAAGCATGCTTTTACGATTTTTTGTTGCCTTGCAGTTGAACTAGTCAAGTAGATCTATGATAATAGCCTTTAAATAAAAAATATTACTTGGGCATTTTAAAAAATGAAAAAAAAATTAAAATATGTTTATAAGATTGAATTATACTTTTTTTTTTTAAGATATAGAAATCTATCTCAATAAAATTTATTTCCATATTTATTCCTTAACTTAAAAATATGTATTACAGATTTTTATTAACTAAACTCACCAATTTATAGTATTCACCAATGATATATTTGAGATATAAATATTACAGAAATTAGTTTGTCATTGAGATAGAAACTTCTTATTTTTAATAGGTATTTAGAACAGTATGTTAATCAAGAACATGGTTAGCAATACGTAGAATCGAACGTCATCATTCAAAAAGTATAAACAAATGCCTGTCAGCCATTAGCAATTAGCTAGTGATTCCAAGTTTCCATGTAAACAAGGCATTAAATAAATAAACCTTCGAAATTTAAAGTACGTGGGGCCAAGAACTATAATCACAATTGGATGTATATGGAATCATTTACCAATAATCATTGCAAGAGCATTTCCCATTCTTGATATGATGAAACCGGTATGCATCTCTGACCACTATCTCTCTTCCAGTGACTATTGATATATACTTCATTGCTGTATGGCAGTCTCCACAAACCCGAAGATTTTTAAATACTCTAATAGGTTTTGGTTTCGGGATACTTACAATACCAAATGCTACTGCAATTTTTTCACTGTGTTGAAACAGATAGTGACCCTTCTGTTCGTCCTCCACATCATGAAGAACAAAATCTGTATTTGGGATATAACCCAAGTTCTTTATTTTTAAAGCCAATTCATCAAGTTCATCATATATCTTTTTAGCCTGGGGGTGTGAAGTATCCCCTACATGGAATTTGTGCACCTGGTTATCGACTTCAATCCAGCTATAACCTGTTTCTTTTATCAATTTTTTCTGTTTCATGCTTTTTCTTATGGCTGCCACATCATCCCACCTCCCTTCTGACGCATACAAGTTTGACAATAATATATAGGTAGCTGGATCCTGAGGTTCCCGCTCAAGAATCAATTTTGCAGCATGTTCCCCAAGCTTGGTGTTACGATGAACCCGACAGGAACCAAGAAATGTACGCCATACCAATGCATCAGCATCAAAAGGCATTGAGTAAATAAATTTAATGGCTTCTAAAAGCAATCCAGATCGGCCAAGCAAATCAACCATACATGCATAATGTTCCATTCTTGGACAGATACCATACTTATAATGCATGGAATTGAAATGTTTCCATGCCTCATCAATCAAACCAACGTGACTACAGGCTGATAAAACCGCAATATAAGTGACATCATTAGGCTTTACTCCTATTTCAAGCATTTCATAGAACAATTCTAAAGCTTTTGTAGCAAATCCATGTTTTGCCAAAGCGCTTATGATAGAGGTCCAAGTTATGACATTGCGATAAGCCATGTCATTAAAGACTTGCAAAGCAGCTTCTTTGTTTCCGCACTTGGAATACATAGAGATTAAAGCATTATTAATACATAAATCGGTTCCGAACCCTGACTTCACTACGAGGGCATGAATTTGTTCACCCTTAGCAATTGTACCTATACAAGCTGCGCCGCTTAAGAGGCACGCATATGTAAAAGAACTAGGTCCAATACCAGTGTGCCCAATGTCATGGTTAAAAGATTCTTCAGAATTTGCATTTGCATCAATAGCTGCATTGTACGAACTCAGATTCTTCTCAAATAAGATATTGAAAGTTTTTCGAGCACAATCCGCTTTTCCAGCCCTTGCATACATGTTAATAAGAGAATTCCCCACACAATTAATTGCGGAAAGGTCTTGTTTAATTGTCTGGGCATGAAGTTGTTTCCCAAAGCTAAAATCAGGAAGATTTGCACAAGCCTTGAGGACGCTGGAGAATGTGAAGCAATTTGGTGCAACATGATCATGAAGCATGTTGCAAAACAGTTTCATGGCTTCTTGCTCTTGTCTGCCGTGTACATATCCAGAGATGAGAGCAGTCCAAGACATAACATTATGGCGTGGCATGCTATTAAATACCTTCCTAGAATTTTCTACTGATCCATCATCTGCTGCACATTTTGCATACATGTCCACCAGAGTACAACCCACGCAGACGTCTGAAGCCAGTCCAGACCTGATAACCCAAGAATGCAATTGCTTCCCAAGTGAGAAGAATCCTATCTCCACGCTGGCCGATAAGAGACTAGTTAGAGTAAACCTATCAGGTGTATGGTCACTAACTAACATACTGCAGAATAAATCAACAGCTTGGTTCAGTAAACCCAGTTGGGCAAATCTAGTAATCATCAAAGTCCAAGTAACTAGATTTTTGTCCCGCATTTTGTCAAACACTAGGCGTGCTGATTGGATATCACCACTGCCTTTAACAAACATATCTATTAACGCACACCCAACACAGACATGGGAATCAAAGTATCCGGTTTTCAAGACAAAGCCAAAGATTACGCGGCCAATAGAAAAATATTGAGCATTAGAAGAAGATCGAATTGAGGCCGTAAAGCAATATTCATTGGGATAAATCCCGGATTGGAGCATGCGTAGAAAGGTAAGAAGCGCTTGGGAGTCCATGGTGTTATTCGCGAAACAGGAGATGAGAGCACTCCAGGAGACCAAGTCTCTCATGTCGCCCATGCCACGGAATATTGAAAGCGCGTTTTGCCAGTCCCCGCATTTAGAGTAGAGGCTAATGAGTGAGTTGAGAAGTACAGAGTCGAGGGGGAGTCCAGAGTGAATCAACTTGTGGTGAAGGAGTTTGCCGAGGTCCAAGTTACCAGACCTGATGCAGGCTTTGAGGAGAAGGGAGGAGTTGATAAGTTTGTGACGGGTACGACCCTCGTCTCGGTGTGGCGTCAGGTCAAGCGTTGAGATGGCTTTGCGGAGTTCTGAACTTCGGTGGCCATCAACATGAATTGCCAACGGAACTTGAATTAGACAGCTTAAGCAAGGCATTTCCCACCACACGCCTCTGACTTGATGAGATGAATATTTGTTTATTATTTCTCTTCTCTTCTACCTTACATTTACACTACCCGATGGATCATACTTGCCTTGTGCCACCCCTTCTCTCCGCTACCTCCCTCCCAAAACAAAATTATACGATTTTGAAAAAATAATATAAATATTTCAATAAAACTGTAGTTTCAATCGATCGTTAGTTCTATTTTTCTAAGATTAGGTTGATTTTTGAATACCTTACCATTCAAGGTTTACAGTCAGAATATTCAATTCGTGCATCGTAATTTTTTGTTTTTATGTTTTATGTTCTTTGAATGATTACAATTACATTGTAACAACTATTATTAATTTTAAATAATAAACATAATAACTATTACAAATATTTGTATTTAATGTAATTATAATATTTTATTTGATTTTCATTAAGTTTTTAATTCTAGTTATTTCAAAATTTAAATAAGATTAATATGATATTTTATTTTAGTTAATATTTAAATAAAAAGATAATAATTAATATTTATGTATTAATATATAATAATTAATAAAACATTGAATTGAAATAATGAAAGTTAAAAATTCATGATTTTTTAAAATAATCAATTATTAAATTTTAAAAATTACTAAAATACTATTATACTATTTTTATAAATGTTAATAATATGCATTAATAATAGTGTTCATAATCAATAATAACAACATTATTACATGTATATGTGACACGTGTTACTATTTTTTTTAATATTATTATTACTATTCTTAATATAAATGTTAGATCGAAAGAAAATAAATGAAATTAAAATAAAATTAACACATGTCAGAAGGAAGTTCCAAAATATAATTGAGATTATATTTGTGTTGAAGCAAATCTAGATTTTATTATTTCCTAGTTGTGAGTGTATGTTTTGTCTTCTTGTTCTTAGGCGTTGATTTTTACAATTTTTTATGACAAATAATTTAGCCTTGTCTCATTATTTTTTATGTTTGAGTGAAAAAATTTGTGGTTTTTTTTTCTTAACGCTTAATCATTTGGATTACATCACATAGTTTTTTTTTTCAAGTCAAATTGGATGTTGATAATTGATTTTTTTGTGAATAGTTTGGTGTCTTTGTAATTTATTAATTCGGTGACTTCATCAAATAACAAATAGATAATATTTGTTGGACGAGCATCACTCCATCAGTCTAAAATTACAGCATTTATAATTAAATTTATAATGATGATACATTAAAAAAAATTATAACTTTAGTGAAAGGTTTACTAAATTGATTGTTACATGTGATTTTAGAACATAATTTATTCAATATATCTTTTAAACTTAATATATAATTCAATCATTATTTTCAAAACAAATTTAATCATATAAGATACATTGATCAAGAAAAAGAAAATACATATTATTTCTTCGGATGAATAAATATGCTAAAATTCTAGTCATAAAGTGTAGGGTTTCCTATTTGCGTTATCTGTTTGCCACAAATTTTAAACTGCAACTTACATTTTAGAATCCATTACACTTATTATGCATTGATATCCATTACTGTTATTATGCATTGATGTTGTTAGTATCGTGAAGCAGAATACTTGTGTTAAGACAAAAATCAATAGGGGTGAATTGATTTCTTATAAAATCTATCTCTTTAAAAATTTACCGATTAAATATAGTATTTGAAAAGTAAAGAGATAAGGAAAGAAGATTACACAAGTATTTATACTGGTTTGGATTAAAAAACCATACGTCCAGTTGTTAATCACTCTAAAAGAGGATTAACGCAGTCACTAAAATAAATTTTCAAACAGATAAACAAATTACAAATAGTAAAGATTAGAAAACACCTCTCTTGAGTCACACAAGAGATGGACATCTCATTTGAAGCTACAAAGGATGAAGACAACTTTCCTAGAGACAACACATCACTCAATCCATTGAGAAATCCACTCAGTGATTCTTATCGCTTCTAGCCCACACTAGATTTTCAAAGCCCTTTTTGTTCGCTACTCAAAGTTCTCTCATCAATCACAACTCTTAACTTTTGAGTATAAAAAAGGTTTGTCTATTATTTTCAGAGAGCATGAGAGTCCTTTAAATAGAGTTTTAGGGTTTCCGATTTTAGGGTTTTCAAAAATTAGGTCTGAAATTCGAAATTCAAATTCATAACTGACACAGATAATCGATTATCATTAGTGATAATCGATTATTACAGAGCCAATATAAGAAAATCAAGTTTGTCTAGGATAATCGATTATCCTGAGTGATAATCAATTATTCTGTTAGAATCACGTAGCAGAATGATTGCGTTTCTGGACAAAAACAAGAGGGGGGGGTGAATTGGTTTCTTAACAAAAAATTAGGGTTTTAAAAATTTTCCCAAATTTCACCGATTAAATTGCTGTGTAAAGTAAATAGATCAAGGATAAAGACTTACACAGATGATTTATATTGGTTCGGATCAAAAGACCCTACGTCCAGTTGTTAATCACTCAAACAGAGGATTAACGCTGTCACTATTATCACAGTTTTACAAACAGATAACAATTGAAAAGATAAGGTAACGAAAACACCTCTCTTGAGTCACATAAGAGATGAAAAACAACTTTCCCTGGAGACGACACAACACAAAATCCACCAAGAAAACCCACTTAGTGATTCTTATCGCTTCTAGCCCACACTAGGTTCCAAAAACCCCTTTTTCCTCCAACAAACAGTTCTCTTACAGTCACAACTCTTAAATTTTGTTTGAAAAATGTTGTTCTATTAGCAGAGAGCCTTAGAGAACCTTAAGTAGACAGATTAGGGTTTGGGAATTGGGAATTTTCGAAACCTGATGAATTGGGACTAGGGTTTTCGAAACTTGGTCTAATTTTGAAATTCAAAACACATATCTGACTGAAATAATCGATTATCTTGAGTGTTAATCGATTATTACAGAGCCAAAATCATCAGGAACCCTTAACCACGCAGTTTAATCGATTATTTGACCTATTAATCGATTAATAACCCTGTTAATCGATTAATAGGAGCTTTAATCGATTATTCCAGAGAGCTGATACAAAAAATGGTTATTCTCTCTGTAATAATTGATTATCCTGCCTTTTAATCGATTAATCCAGTGTGTTTTTGATAAAAATGAGTTTTTAAAGTTTCTAAAGAGTAGACTATGTGCTAGCTATCTTAGACTCTAATATTATAGACTCAAAATCATCAAAACAGAGTTATTACATCATATTACAAGTCTTCAAATCTTTACGTCCTTTGTTCTTGAATCATCATCAAAATCTACAGGCTTCATATCCATGTATGTGTTGAACATTCAAGGACTTGATGTTGCACTTGATGGACATGAAGATTGTTGATTTTGATGATGATTCAAGAACACAAAGACTTAGAGTGTTGAAGACTTGTTTGGTATTGTAATAACTCTGTTTCAATTAGATTGAGTCTGTAATATTAGAGTTTAAGATAGCCGGTACATAGTTTGCACCTTAGATGCTTCAAAAAGCTCAAATTTATCATCCAGGCTCGGCTTTAATCGATTAAATAGGGAAATAATCGATTAAAACAGTGAGAAAAACCATTTTCTATATCTGCTCATTGGTTTAATCGATTAAACCACCTGTTAATCAATTAACAGGCCTGTTAATCGATTAACAGCCCTTTTAATCGATTAAAACAGAGAGTTTTAGGGTTCTGTTGATTTTGGCTCTGTAATAATCGATTAATACTTCATTTAATCGATTATTTCAGTCATATTTTGATTTTTAACTTCAATTCAACCCTATTTTCGAAAACCCTTTTCCCAAGAACCCTAATTCCGAAATTCCCAATTCCCAAATCCTAATTTCTCTACTTAAGCTTCTCTATGGCACTCAGAAAAGTAGAACAACCTTTTTCATACAAAAGTTAAGTGTTGTAGTGCCAGAGAACTGTTTGTTGCAAGAAAAAAGGGCTTTTGGAACCTGGTGTGGGCTAGAAGCGATAAGAATCACTGAGTGGAGTTCTTAGTGGATTGTGTGCTGTGCCGTCTCTAGGAAAAACTATTCATCATCTCATGTGGATTTCAAGAGAGGTGTTTTCTTATCTTTATCTTTTCAATTGTAATTTGTTTGTAACAACTTGATTATAGTGACAGCGTTAATCCTCTGTTTGAGTGATTAGCAACTGGACGTAGGGTCTTTTGATCCGAACCAGTATAAATCTCCTGTGTATGATTCTCTTCTCTATTTACATTTACACAGTTTTTAATCGGTAAAATTTGGGGAAAATTTTGAAAACCTAATTTTTATTAAGAAACCAATTCACCCCCCCTCTTGGTTTTTGTCCGACCACGCGAACATTCCGCTGCGCGATTCTAACAGTATGTTCAACATTCATATCCTTGTATGTTTCAACAATCTCCCCCCTTTTGATGATGATCAAAATTTTCTTTTAAAGCTCTTGTAATAACCTGTTTTATCTATCACACTAACAAAAACATTAAACATACCAGATAATATTTAAAGTTAATAAACATAATAAGAGGCTTTAAATAAATTTCTCCCCCTATTTTGATTATGATCAAAAAAATTGAAAGCTCCCCCTCAATAGATGCATAATTTAAAAAATAACTCCCCCTCAAACAAGACAAAGAAATATAAATTTTATTTCATAAAGAAACGACATTACAAACAAAGAGATATATGGAAGAGATTAAAACTCTTCACTAGTATCACTATTAAACTGAGCGTCAAACCTATCCTCTAGATTACGAGACCCTATCATCTACATCGAGATACGACT